TTTGGGTCATCATTTTGGGCCCCAAACAACCCCACCCCCCCCCCCCCCCCGTCTGTACATGCTTCTTGTTCAGTCTTTAGTTTCAGTGTCCTTTTTTTATTCTTTGAAAATGAAGGATACATCCCTCGGCCCTCTCTCATAAGCGCAGAATCACAGAGTTGGCAAAACAGTCTCCTGTAACCCTTGCTGTCGTTGAGATGCTGTAGGGTTTGACAGTTATGTTTCTTGCAACAAGTTGAGGAGTGAATCCACGACAATTCATGATAATTCATTGTTTAGTTTTCACAGTCTTCAGATCTCGGAGTCCTTTCTTTTGTACATTCTTGCTGATGCTGCCATTTTTGATGAGTGAGGCCTTAGCATGGCTCCTCAGTTTGAGGCGGTTTCTCATGATTTTATTAGGCTTATTCTTGGTAATAGGAATGGCATGGAACTGAGGCTATACCTTCTCTGAGAGTCACAGCATCTGACACAGGTTAGAGCCTGCAGTCACTTGGTTGGAGTGCTGTTCTCTATCAGCTTGCTTTCTTCTATATTAGAATTTTGCCAGCTGAACTCCTGGTCGGCCCCATTCCTGTTATAAGTTGTGGCAGATACAGTGCGATTGTGGGCTCTCCCTTCCTCTGAAGCCCACCCACTATCTTTTAGCGGCTGCTGACCATCCTTGTTGGAATCATTGTCACTCTTCTTCTCTTACGACTTGGCGGTCTGTGACGTAGTGCTCCCTCTTCTTCTTCCCTGCCCCACAGACCTACTCACATACATGAACACGTTTGTTCTTTAGCGGCACACATCTGTAACTATATGGCTCCAGAAGTAGAAGTCAGATGATTAGGCATTCAAGGCCAACCTGGGATCCTTAGGGTTTTTATAGAGCTGTTCTTAAAACAGTCATTCACATTCATGGGGCCATGCTTTATTGAGTTGTAACTCATTGGCTGTCATTTAGGTTGATACTACATTCTTGCAGAGTTGACTGAAAAGTGTTAATCTGAGTTGTTTTCCAACAGTCAGTGTGGGGGTGCTTGTCTCCTCACCGCCTGCTGCTGCTGCAGGACTCTTTCCAGACTCTCCGTGGTGTTTGAGGGGTGGGGGGTGGGGGGGGACACAGATCACTAAGAATGGCCCAGTTAAAAGCCTCAGTGAGAATCAATGTTCTCTTCTTCTCTGGAGTCTATAGATGATGCTCTGAGGTCATCGAAAATGGAGGGAAGTTACAGTACTGTTAAATTCATACTCTAGCTGTTGACTAGGGTGATAGCTAGAAGTTACTAGGTAACACTGTCTGAGCCACTTAAAAAGGCCTTCTTATCAAATAGCTTTGCTTCCTTCAAACGGGGGTCCGTCCTAACATTACATTGCTCTGCATTTTTCTGAAAAGATGTCACTCATCTAAAGATGCATTGATTTGAAGATCAGATAATCATCAATGAAGTATTTGCCAATTCTTTGTACCCCTGCCAAGTAAACAGAACAAAAGTACATCCAAAACACATTTGGGGAGAACAGGGAAGATTTGCCGTTTGCACAGTTGTATGTCTCATAAAGGCTCACCAGGCATGCTCTTTATATAGGGGTCTCGGGATGATGTAAACAGAGCATCCTTTTCATATTGTAGTGATGACTACTTCCTCCCAGAAAAACATAACTTTTTCTTTGCCCTGTGTGTTAGCATGTTGTTGTTGTTGTTGTTGTTGTTGTTGTTGTTAGAAAGTAAATTAGAAGAATAGAAAATGTAGTGGAAGGGTGTGCATATGAGTTCCTTACTCGGTGTATGCATTAGGGTTCATGGTGGGAGCTAAAGCCTGGGTCAGCTTGAACCATTACCTTTAAGAAAATTAATTGTGAGTTACAATAAACTTTGGGTCTCAGTTTGGTGAGAGTCTGTCAGCACTCAGATGAGCCGCCTGCTAGTGGGGGATGGGATGCAGGCACCTTCAGTTAACCTGTGTAATGTTTTTCACATACGCTGTCAATAATTATTTTCATATAAATGTCATTATTTTGTTCTATTAAATTAGTCACAGAGTAGCCCATCTGAACCTCTTGTGGGAGTCAGTTCTGAGATGGGGAGCAGGGCAGCCTTTACCTGTGGGAGCGAGCACTTGATGACCCGGGCTTTCCCTTCCCCTGTACAGTTACTCGGGTAATTCAAGGTCCCTGTTAGAAATCTGTGGCTGCGGTTCTATAAACTAGTCACTGACTCTCCTTCCGTCCTGAGGTGGCTGCTTTCCATGAATGGAAACTCCCTGCTTGTGGGCCTTTTCCATCCTCCAGATCACTGGCTGGAGCTCTCTCAGTCTGTTTCCTGCCGTTTCTCCTGTGCTCTTCTGCTTGTGCCCATGGAAGTCAGCCTGGCTTTCCAGCCTGAGTTCTGAGTTCCTGTCATAAAAACAGGACAGCTCAGTGGACGGGCTGTGCACTTTCTAAATTACTGTTTGTTTAATAGTAAGCTTGAATAAATGATTTATTCTGCCTTTTTAAAGGTGCAAAGATCCTTAATTAAAAGGCAGTTCTATTCACTACCTTGAAAGGTTCTTACTTAGGTCTGAGAAGGAGCTGTATAAATTGATGTCTGTGAAAGGCTAACAGTGATGTCACTGCAGTGACTCATTAAGGACAGCTTCACTGCTGGAGCTAAGTGATCCTGCCATTTTCACACACCTAAGAGCATTGCATTCTGGACTACTATTGATTGGCACTGAAGCACCACTCTATTGATGTTCTGTAGCGATTTACAAGTGTGAGCAGTGTGACTTCAGACACTCATTTCTTCTGTCAGTGTTCAGCGTCTGTCTGCCTTCGGTATGCACTTCCAGCTGGACGCATTCGTCCACTTAGAAACAAGTGAACAACAAGCTACTGGTGCAGGCGTTTGCATAACGGCCTCAGGCTGAGAGCGGCTCTGCTTATAACTTTGTTTTTTTCCAGAGACGCATTTCTTGATATCCTTTCCTTCTTACCTGCAGAGACTTGGAGTGCTTTGGGTCTCAGCTCCATCACCTAACCAGCTGTGACGTGGGCCTTGGCCCAGCACACCCCTTTCTCATTATGAGAGCTCTGTGTTTGGCTGACTGCCCTCACAGCCTAGAGGAGGACAGTAAGGATTGCTATTTTTAGAGTGGTTTCAACATTGATAGTTCCCAGCTCGCTCCAAGGATTCCGGTCTGTAACATCTGTCTTCTGTGGTCCCTCCTTCCCTGAGGATTCCTGTTATCTGAGCAGGCTCTAACAGAGTTTGTTTCATCTTTAGAGAGCACTTAGTGTTAGGATGTAATTTGCCCTGAGCAGAGGAGAGATCTCCTCTCCTGTTACTTTCATGGTGTTCTTTTAAAATATATCTTCTGGGTCACATTCACTCATCTTTTAAAAATATTATAGTGGAGATTTAAGTTTTGCTTTTGTGTTTTATTTTTGGTTTTAGATTTATTTTATTTGTATGAGGGTTTTACTGGTATGCATGTCTGTGTACCGAGTGCATGCCTGGTGTCTTCAGAAGCCAGGGGAGGGCATCATATCTCCTTGAACTGGAATTAAAGGTGGTTGTGAGCTGCCATGAGTGCTAGGAACTGAACCCAAGACCTCTGGGAGTCCAGCAGGTGCTTTTACTGTAAACCATCCCTTTGGCATCACATGGTCACTGTGCTGCTCCTTGCATGTAGTTTCTTGTCTGATGATGAAACACACACATCCACCCCGTGTTCATACTTCTTATAAAGTTGCCCTCCCCTCCCCCCCCCTACAGCCTTTTAGCCCTATTCTTTTCATTTTGGTGGCCACTGGTGTGATTTAATGTCTTGCTGTTGCCTCTCAGCAGTCAAGTTAGGCTCAAGGCTGCTACATTATCAGAAGTCAGAGCATGTTCCTCCTTCATAGTAGGATTATGTACTTCAGTGCTCTTGGCCTGCCTGCCTCAGGCCCAAGAACTGAGCAGGCAGCCTCTGCTTTTCCTGTTGGCTTCCTGACAGAGAGCACAGAAGGCCGGTAACTCAGGATCTGAAAGCCTGTGGTGCATCTGCCCTGAAGTAATTCAGATCATGTCTAAGATACTGGCCACAAGACTTAAATGGACCAAGTAGAATCTATAAGGGAGAGGCATGGAAGTCGGAGTCACATGACCATGCTTGATGGTCAGCAGGATAACTGTCTTCCAGTTAGCTGCTCTTTATGGCTTGAGAACCAACAGTTTCTGGAGGTGGTGGGGTTGTGCAGATTTTGAGCTCTTTGCTTCTTTAGGTTTTGTCTTTGTGCTGCCGTGGAACTTGAGAAGTGGCGATTGCTAGAGTTCCCTGCCTCAGATCTGGCCATAGGCTTATCTTCATGGCCTTTGAGAAAGTAAGCATGCTTCCTAGTTGATTGTAAGGCCAATTATCTTTTTGGCTAAATGCCCAGGGTGATAAAATACCATTAATTTGGTTTTTATTTATTTAGAATCCCTTGTGATTGAGCTTAGCCCCACCCTCTCTCTTACACAGCCCTTCCCTCTCCCTACCACATAAGAAAGCTTGAGCATAGATTGTTCCCAAGTCTCCACCTGAGTGACTTCATGCCATGTTCACCCTCCCATGGCTATGCTGGGTGTCACACTGAGGCTGCGTCCTCCTCAGTATGGAAAAAGTTTGTGCGGTTGCTCTTCGGGAGCTTGTTGTGTATAATAGTACTTCAGACAGCTTGACTAGTTTAGTTGACATGGATTTTCATGATGTACCAAATTCTGTTACCTGTCTTTGAGTATGGAGTAAAAATTCTTGGAGGGGGGGGGACCAACAGAGCGTGTGTGTAGTTCAAAAACTCAAACTGTTTTATGTACTGAAGCAGCTTGCCTTTGTGACATTGTAGGAAACCCAAAACATCTGGTACACTGCCAAGTTGGCATTAGGTTTGTTACTCTGACTTTAATTTGTAACTGCCCAAGACTTTGGAATAAAATACATGTCCTGACTTTCGTGGGAGTTTATTGCTATTCCCAGAGGTCAGGTCACCACTGCTTTGCAGTGGAAGGTGGCAAGAACATTTTGAGGCAGTGTGCTCGATCTTGCTACTGTGCACACAGGGACCACTGACTGTGGATCCAACATCTGGAAAGTATGGAGCCCTACTGGGTACTATACTGGTGCTGCTGACTGATGGTTGACAAGCTTCCCTGTGCCATCCATAGTGCCACGGAAGCAAGGGAGTGTACCATGGGGAGAGGACCTGCACCCACACTCTCTGGGCTTTGGCGTCTTATGGTGTGCGAGAGGCTGCAGCACAGCTCCTGCAGTCATGGAGCTGAGGAGCTGAGTGACAGGTGCAGCTGCAGTGGAAGACATGGTTCTATGATGTCGAAACATCAGGTGCCCTTGGGAATCACATAGTGAGAGTGGAAGAAACAAGTCAATTCCCAGTTTATGGAAGTGCCACGTCGGAGGACGAGTCTTTAGATTTAGGGGGGTACAATCTGTAATGGGAGGACATAAGTCTAAAAACCTAGATATATATCTAATTGTAAATGCCTGGAAAGGAATCTGTGTCTTCTAAAAGCATCAATCAAGCTGCTGCTGCTGCTGCTGTTGTTGTTGTTGTTGTTGTTATTATTATTATTATTGCACAGAGACGGGTAAGGATGTTGACAACTGGTTTTGACTTGTTTGTTTGTAATTAGAGAATGGCATTAGACACTGGATGGGCCGTGAAGAAAGGTGCAGGCTTTTGGAATTGCATGAGGCAGAGCGGACATTTCAGGGGAGGCCAGTGCTGGAAAAGAACTTAAGGTTATGGTCAGTTTAGAGGGGATGTAAAGTAGACAGGCCTTGCCTGGCTACATCTGCTGCAAGATGCTGCGCCCACCAGGGCACAGGAGGAGCCAACCCACTGGGTGAGGGGGCATGGGGTCAGCTGGGGGGGCCCTCATCTCCTCAGCTGTACGTGTTGCAATAAGCTTGACAGAAACCGATTTCCTGAATTTGATGAATTGGGGAGGGGAAGGTGGCAGTGAAGATGCCTGGCATGCAAGCGTGTGGGATGTAGTCTGGGCAGCTAGAGACCAGAGGGCGGTGCTTGGGTGTAAGTCTCTGTCAGAAGTGCTAGCCAGGTACCCTTCCTTCTGCTCTTCCCAGCAGTCCCGCCCACCTGGGAAGCGATTTGCTGGGTTGGTCTGCAGCTGTTCCCAGGCACTTGTTACCCCACCTAAGGTCCACCCAGGCTTCTTCGGGAGTAGAGATGGGAGCAGGTCCATTGTGGGTAATTGTTCAGAGCCATGTGGCACACCACAGGATGCACACCGCAGAGCCCTCCCATGGGCGCGTGCATGGAGCTTGTGTTCACTTCCAGCACTGCTGCATTTCTCTTGACATGGTGACCTTGAAGGTTCGGGCACTTAGAAGGGATAATCTTCTCAGCTGTTGCTTAGCCTTGTCAGCCTCTGGACTCACCCAGTTGCCTTACAGAATGATGCCATCTTCATAGGAAACTGGTTTTGAACATGTTGCTGATACCCAGGTTGACTATAATACATACCTGGTAGTGACTGTGAAGTGTTCTTAAACAGATAGTTTCTTGGCAGATAGAATTGTCTACAAGATTGAGTTGTAAAGTTAAACGCAAATTTTGACCCTCATCTCCCCCAAAAGAACAAAGAATGGCAGAAGTATATATTTTATTTCTGATATTTTTATAATTTAAAACCACCTTTAAAAAAGTTTCCTAATTATGTTCTTTGAATATAATTAACGGAGTTTGTAATAGTGTTGGTTTTCATGAACATGTCTCAGCACGCGATCCCTTCAGTGCTGAGTTATTGTGCTTTTAGGCTGCATTGGGAACTGACAGACAGGCTATGAAGACGCAAATTCAGTAGATTTTCTTCCCTGTCACTGAGTGCCTCATGGTAAGGGCACACACAGCAAACATGGCCGTAAGAGTGCTTGCATGTGACCAGGAAACTAATCCTTAATGTGGATAACACGCGTGTGAGCTACTGATTGAGCATTAGGCAGTGCAGAGCAGGCCCCAGGATGCGCCGCCACACAGCACATCTGTTGTTGCCTGTTGGTAGTCACAGTTATCCTACTGAAACCCTAAGTCACATCAACACAAGAGAAACCCCACATGGCCTCAGAGACAGGAGGGGTCTTTGCAGTTTAAAGTGGGGGAGAGGAGGCACACAGCAGTCAGGGAGTCCTGGCTCAGTAGCTGTGGAATCGGCTGTCAGAGCCGACGATGGTGCTCTGTGTACCGTGGGTTGCTCAGCCGCTGTGCCCTGCGCTGCGGTGCCTGTTGCAGTATTAGGAGAGCTTTGCGGGTTCCTTCGTCTCTTTTTAAACAGCATGTCTGCTCCTCTGTATAGTCTGTTGTAGACTCAGGAGTCCGCAGATGCGTGTCTCGCCGCAGAGCTGTCTTCCACAGTGCAGTCCCATTTCCTCCATCTCTTCACAAGGCTTAAAGTCTGGGAACAGCATCCTGTTCACTTTCTGATGTTCAGCCTCACCTCAGAGGAGTTGTGTATGAACCTCCGTCCCAAGCCCAGCACAACTTTATACAATGTAGTACTCTGTGAAGTGGAGTTTGCTTGTGGGTGTGACCCTATGCCTGTCACCACTGCTTTTATTCTCTGCACTGTGGATTTCAAAGTAGACACTTGGTGACAGCTTTTACCAAATGAAGAAATGTGTGCACATTAATTCAGTTATGTTGTGGACCTGGGCTTAAGAAGAAGTAGCTGGCATTGGTAGTACATGCCTTTAATCCCAGCACTTGGGAGGCAGAGGAGGCAGATTTCTATTAGTTCAAGGCCAACTTGGTCTACAGAGCAAGTTCCAGGCTTGCCAGGGCTACATAGAGAAACCGTGTTAAAAAAAGAAAAAGAAAAAAAGAAAAAAAGAGGAGTTAGGGGAATATTATGGAGCTGTCAATCCTGTCCTGGCTCTGTGCACAGACGTATCTGGCAGCTCCCTCCACTCTGGTGACTCTGACCTTGCTAGGAGATGTCCCCTCTGCCTTAGCTGTGGACACTCATCTCCACTCACACTGGTGCTGGTGATTGCCATTGTGACGCCAGCAGTGGCTGGCTCTTACTCGAGTGCATTCTGTGTGGCAGTGTCTGCTTGGGACGGCTGGAGTCTGGCTGGGGAAGAAGCAGGCGAAGCTTTACAGTGTCAGCTCTTGTGACTTTCCCCTTAGGTGGCTGCTCCATTTTTGCTGTTCAGAATTTAATGTATTCAGAGCCTCTATCACTTAGAAGCATGAAGTCAGATTGAGTTACTTTGGAAATGATTTTCTTTACTGTGAACAAGGGAGACTGTTCACTTTCCAAATAAATCCAGTGGTATTTGATATAACCCTGTTCCAAATTGAGTCTGCACAAAGGGAGTTAGACTGTGAGGAAAACGGTTGCCTGACATTTACTAACTCATTTAACCTGTAATGAAGTGGCTGGGGGCTTGAATAGTTTCCATAGTCTTTGATGCAGGGGGAATGGCAGAGACAAACCGTGTACAGGTCTGCCTGAATATTGAGATAAGAATCCCTGTCTAGCTCTCACAGGTCCTTGGACAAAAGAATTCCACGCCGCTTTATGACGCTTTTCTTCAAACCGTGGATTGTTTCATTGACTGACATTGAGAGACCATTGTGTTCCATCACGTTCAGAATGTCCATTTTCTTTCACATTGCGTATTATTTAAGATCAAGAGTACTTGTTAGTGCTCTTCGGCCTTTCACCCACACGAGTGAACTTGGTCATAATTGTGCTGTCACTTTAGCTCAGTTGTCTGCACTGTTGGTGTTCTCTGTGACAGGATCACTTAACACTGACGTGTCCTTAGAAGGACGCCTGGGACCTGACAGCAAAGCACATGAGTACCAACGCCGTCGAGACAGAGCCGAGCGAGACAGAGCCGAGATCTGAGCGGGGCGCAGACTCCTCACTAGGAAGACTGATGCCACGCCAAAGTTTTGTTATTGGTGTTCTTGCTAAAGAATTGATCACTTATCACAGGAAAGCTCTAAACCCAGCTTGCAGGAAGAGCCCTTAAGTTCCCTGGACTCTGGTCTTGAAGATACAGCAGCTTCTGTAGTGCAGACCTGTAACTTCAGTCCCAGCAGAGTTCTGAGTTCTTTGAGGATAAGGAAACATTCTGACAGTTGGACGGGCGGGCGCTGCTTGGGTTTCCTTCAGTGCCTGTCATCTGGGTTGACGACCGAGTGCTGAGCTCAGTTGTTACTGAGTCTGTGAAGGTAACTCCTAATGTGCTTATTGTAGGTGCCTAATGGATAAGGACTTCGTGAGGATCGGGAAGTGGTTTGTCCGGCCCTGTGACAAGGACGAGAAGCCAGTCAACAAAAGGTCAGTCTTCAGGATGCTCTGGGGGGTTTGATGTCTCAGCCATGACCACGCCTGTTTTTGGATTTAGGTGGAAGGGGTTGGTGTGTTTATTCTCTGTTCATATTGTTCTCGAGTCCCCATGCTATTGTACACTGCATGCTTGTGCGTGCCGTGTGATCATCAGTGAGTCATAAGACGAGAGAGCCGTGAGGCCCTCAGTGAGGCTGAGTCTGCAGCACTCTTCACTGCATGGTTTGCAGTTGACACTAGCATGGCCTTTCTGTTATTCCCCCGAATTTTTCTTCTCTACACTGTTATTTGGCATAACATGAGAATAGTTCAATGGAACTAAATGGTGAGAATTTGGATAGTGCTGCTCAGGTGCTTCTTTCCACAGATGAGTGCACTCAGCCTGTGACTGTCAAAGCAGACGGAGGACTTGTGGACAGTTGCCATGGCCCACATTTGCAGTGGGTGTGAACTTTGCTGCTAGATAGGCATGGACTTTTAGATCAGTGCAACCAAAGCAAAATGACCCAGTTTAACACTCCCTCCTTACCTCTGACCATAGTCTAGTACAAAGTACAGTACATAGCACCTTCTCGCCCTCCAAGTTCCTTTTCCTTTTGTATGAAGCATAGGACCTCTTGCCCATTCCCACTGAGCTTCATACTGGGGACATAGCACCTCAGTCCT